TACATCAAATAAGCGACATAAAACATCGAATAGGGAAGGATAGGGAGTTGAGACTTGGATTGTATAAAAAGTATCGCAGAGCCGTGAATGCTCTGGACGGAGTTGACACCGCTCTTGTAGTATCTGGCATGGGACTCGGTGTAGCGGGTATCGGTTTACTATCAACTATAATCGCCGCGCCTATCGTGCTAGGCATGGAAATAGCCGCTGGAGTCTCGGGACTGGCAGGAATAGCGATAAAATTCATTTCTCGTGGGTTACAAAAGAAAGCATTAAAACACGATAATATTCGGATACTCGCCGAAGCAAAGTTGAACAGCATCGAGGATCATATTTCGACAGCAATGGCCGATTGTAAGATATCCGAGGATGAGTTTCGTTTAGTGCTGTCGGAACTCAACAAATACAATAAAATGAAGCAGGAGATTCGATCAAAATCTAGTAAGACCAGTGGTATTAGCGAAGACGAGAAAAAAAAGTTCATAGAAGAGGGGAGGCAACAAGCGCGTCAATTATTCCGTGCCAAAACCAAAGAACTGGTTGGAGATTAAAAATAGATTGCTTACTATCGTTTGATCACATTTAGACAATTGCTTACATAAATATATAATAATGGAGAAAGCTATTAAATGGAAAGAATTACCACAAGGTTTTTATTATATCAGTGATGTCAAACCAACCAAATACGGTTATCAATTGTTTCTTATCAATTTACAAAAAGAGTGTAGTTATATAGTCTGGTCTCCTAGTAAAATTAACGAAGAACTTAATAAAAATGTTGAACATCGCTTTATCGATAAAAATAATCAAGAATATTTTGATTACCATTTAGGCTCATCTAAAGCAATGATTGGCCCCAGGTATTGGTGAGCTAGAGCCAATTTAACTTAATCTCATGACTATCGTTAAATCGCATAATCATTTTGACATAAAAAATCCCCCCTGTAGTAGCAGTATAGGTATATGAATCTGGCTCCAGTGGAAGTGGTCCAGAACCCCCATTACCTATACTACTAGTGGTGTTATGCGAAGTTATGTTACTTCTAAAAACGACGATTAATTAAAAACTAGACGTAAATTTTAAGATGTTTGCAGATATTGTCTTCAGAAAATATTTATAAATTAAGTTCAGGTGAGTAGTTGTAATATTTTCATTCCAAAGCTGGTAAACAACAACATAGATATTTTGAAATTGCATCAGTCATAACGCAGTCATTTATTTCTGGACGTATTTTTCCTTAATTGAGAGTCATATACACAAGAAATCTGCGTCAGGGGAAACCCTGGTTAGGGTTTGAAAAATTAATAACAAAATGGAAAAATTAATAAAAAAAAATATTTCCTTTTGACTGCACCCCTCCATATGACACAGATTATATGTACTAAGTTTGAGATGAATCCACTGAATAGTTTAAGAGAAATCGCGCGGACAAAATTTTCAGACGGATGTTAGGGTTTGAAAAATTCATTAAAAAATGGAAAATTAATAAAAACAATTTTTTTCTTTTGACTGCACCCCTCCATATGACACAGATTATATGTACTAAGTTTGAGATGAATCCACTGAATAGTTTAAGAGAAATCGCGCGGACAAAGTTTTTCAGATGGACGTTAGGGTTTGAAAAATTCATTAAAAAATGGAAAATTAATAAAAACAATTTTTTTCTTTTGACTGCGTCCCTCCATATGACACAGATTATATGTACTAAGTTTGAGATGAATCCACTGAATAGTTTAAGAGAAATCACGCGGACAAAGTTTTCAGATGGACGTTAGGGTTTGAAAAATTCATAAAAAAATGGAAAATTAATAAAAACAATTTTTTTCTTTTGACTGCACCCCTCCATATGACACAGATTATATGTACTAAGTTTGAGATGAATCCACTGAAGAGTTTAAGAGAAATCGCGCGGACAAAGTTTTCAGACGGACGGACGGACGGACGGACGGACGGAATCTTGGTATAACTATATACCCCCGACATTTTGTTGGGGGTATAAAAATACATGGGACACGTGTGGATATCTTGATCAAAATGATCAAACTCAGTTCTGTGTGTGAAAATTCTGTGAAAGAAAAGGAAATTCATAATTAAAGTTGTCTAGTTGAATATGTGTATTGGAGTTTTCGTTTATCGTAAGTACAATATTATCTGGATTCGCCTTACGTAGGTCAAAACATCAAGTACATTTCGTTACTTATGTGCATTGTTAGGTTGATACATGTGACACATTCATCTAATGTAGTCAAGCTGAGAAATTTTGGTGCAACTTCTGGTGCTTCAAATTAGCCCCTTTCCTAAACACTAGTTGAAAAATCTGTGTAATAATTTAAGTTTTATAAATATAATCTGATTATTGTGTGGAACAGATCTTACTGTTGAATGCAAATGACCAAAACTTAACAAATATCTGTAATTTTCGGATTGAACTGAAAGAATCGTGTGGTCAATTTCGTATTTAAGTATCGTTACTGTTACATTAACCGAAACTGATGTTCTGCCGTAAAGAAAATATACAACACACTACACTTTGACCACAAATGCATTGAATGTGTCACATGTACACAAGACCATGTGCTATGCTATTTATAGCGCAACTGTAAATAAGCTCCACCCACTGTGATTGATGCAGACGCCAAAAACGATTGATTTGATTTTTTATGATAAATCTACAGAAAATTTATTGATTTATATCTTGATATGGAGCCATCTGTAGTATCCATGGTTTGTCAATCAAGTTGATACGAAGTTTAACGGTCAATGGTGATCTTGTTCCAGTATGGTTTTCAAAAAGCTTCTCCCGACACTCGGTTGTGTTAACATTGTCAGTCATTGTTCTGCAAGCGACAGTCACAACAAAAGGAGTGAGGGTCTGATGTTGAATAAGTGAGTTGGCATGCACGTGTGTGTGTGTGTGTGTGTGTGCGTGCATGCGTCTGCTTGTACTAGTCCGGATTGATGCCAATTTATAGTCCTAGCCAACTGAGATACCATGTCACAGTTTAACATGAATACCCCACACAGACACAGTATACCCCACTCTGAGCTGACCAGTCCTTGTTTTAGCCCCTCAATGCCATTGCCAGACAGTGTAGCAACAAATACCACCTTTAAAAGTAACGTCTTTTGGTATGACGTTGTAGGGGATCAACACCGAACCTTCTGCTCACCGGGCAGACGCCGATCTTTATTCTAAGAATTTGATCGTTGATCCTTACCGTGACGATTGGGAGCGTCCTGGGAGGTAGTAGAACAAACATTCTTATCACGATCAGCTGTAGGAACGGAACACGTAGATTCCAAGCATGGTATCTCAAATGTGGTAGCACGATCGGTCAGTTGGACAGAACAAACATCGGCTTGTATAGGAGATTGTGAAGCGTTGTCATCGGTGACAGAAAGTAAGGGTTTTTCTGATTGAAGTGAAGAGCTGCTATTGGATTTCCTAGTTGAATCCTTGGCCTTAGAACGCTGGTCTGGTAACCTGCGATAGACGCGAATCTGGCAAGGCATGACACTCAGCACACAGTGAGTTCAATGAATACTGCAAGCAACAGTCACAACAAAAGGGGTGAGGGTCTGATGTTGAATAAGTGAGTTGGCATGCAAGTGTGCGTGCGTCTGCTTGTACTAGTCCAGATTGATGCCAATTTATAGTGCTAGCCAACTGAGATACCATGTCACAGTTTAACATGAATACCCCACTCTGAGCTGACCAGTCCTTGTTTTAGCCCCTTAATGCTGAGTGCCAGACAGCGTAGCAACAAATACCACCTTTAAAAGTAACGTCTTTTGGTATGACGTGGTAGGGGATCAAACCCTGAACCTTCTGCTCCCCGGGCAGAGGCTTTACCACTAGACCACGAAGGCGGTCTGTTGGTGGTGTAATTCTTCACAGAACTTGGAAACAGGACAAAGAAACTTCTCTAAGATTGCAAAACACGTCACAACACAGTGGCGATGAGAAAGAGAATGAGTTGGCGGAGGTATGCACATGGTAATTTTAAGCAGGCTTGCCGTGCATGGGAAACACGCTATTGACCTAGCTTCTGGATGTACCATGGAGATGCAGGGGTTGTTTGGGTGAATGTTTTGATTTGATGGTTCAGCATGTTTCCACATAGGATCGAAGAAGATGAGAGAAATGCAAAGTGTGAGATAGAATAAGTTTAAATTTGACTAACATCCTGTTTGGGTTATAAACCAAGTGCTGTCCTCGGTCCTATTCCACACAATGAGTGCCTGTCCAGGATTCATACCCTGAGTAAACAACTGAAGGCATCTTCATTGTTATTACTAATAAGGTATAATGACACGGTAATCAAATAGATGAGCAGACAGAAAAAAGAGATGTTATGTATTAAAAAATATGATCCAGAAGCTGGCACACTCGACTTTGACCCTGTAGTCATGATTGTTGAAGTTGTACATTGTGTCAAACCCTGGGAACCAATATTAACCCCAGGAAGGGGAATACCCTCAGCAGCAGATTTTTTCATTGGGTGGTCGATTTTGCCTGTTGCTTTTTTATTGTCTGTTTTATGCTATTTCTGTTTTTCAAATTTGATTTTGGTCAAGCATTTGTGAATATGAATACCCTTAAGTATTAAAATCTGCAAAGTTGCCATGTTAACTTGACTTACCCCTTAAGGCTCTACTGGACAGTTCAGCTAATGATTATCAGAATGAGGGCTAAACTGAAAATTTCAAATGATTGGAAATCTGTTCATCTGTGTAATTTCCAACTTCTAATTAACATTTTCAGCAGAGTCGAGTGTTACATATGACATCTACACATTTTCCCCAAACTACCTACCTATATCTTAAACCCATTTACAAATGAAACTTACTGGGCATGTCAACCACCAAAACTAGGTACAATGTGCACACACTGCTAGTGATCCAGCTATGCCAGCTAGAACAAAGACTGTACTTGCTAGACAATTGGTGGGGTCAGCGAATATGGAGGATGGGGTTGGCTTCTGTGGGACGTACATACCCATCATGTTGTACAGCGACTGGGGTGCATAGTGGGAGGGCCGACGTTTGAGAGCCTCCTCATAAACTGACAATGCCTCCTGCAAAACAAAATAACATGTAATCTCAATTCAACAGAAACTATTGATGATTATATTACAATGGTATATTGGTGATGTTATAAATATTATCAGTATTCAATATCTAGTTAATTGTTTTCTCTCATCGTCAGCACTTCTGAATTTTGCATACTATATGGATTCCATGCACATATTACCAACACAAATCTTTTTCTGCTTAACATGTTGTGTACATACATCTTCCCAAGGCGAGGGAGTTGACTGACTTTAAAAGTCCAATTTCCACCCTTGCCGCACTAGGCTGGAATAACGGAGTAATAATTTGGCTGGACTAACGAGTCTATGCATAGTCCAATCAAAATGCTGTAACTAAATCGACATCCGGTTTATTAACAACATGGCAACTGCCTTGCCGAATTCGTTAGACAGCAGAATTTGCAGAGCACGTGTACCATCAGTTGAGCGTCGACAGATATTTTACAAATCTTTTCATGTTTTCAGTCAGGTTGCTCAAGTGACATGATGCACTTTGGGAGGTAAAACCAATTTTATTACAACAAAGACCTTTATTGCAGATGAAATCGTCTCAACTTGGCGCCACCATTTTGTTTGAAGCAAATTCAAGTGATATGAGAGGTGGAATCTCATTGGTCAGGAGGGGGGAACATAGAAGGCACATAACTCGTAATCGCCACTGGTAGCACTCCAACCAAGCCCAGAAATTCCAGTCTAGTTCAGCAACAGATGTTTGTTTTTTTTCAAATACAAAGTTTTTGAAATTTCACTGTAGTTCAGTCCCATCACTGACTTTGTCCCAATTCCAAAACACTCCAACACTATTAACGAGCACTTTGCACATTTTCATGCTTAACGAAACATGTATCAAGAACCTTTTGAAATTCAACTGGTGATAGTAAGCTAACTTCACTAAATACAGATCCTATATATAGATTGATTGCATTATGTAAATCACAAAGAAAAGTGAAGGTATATTCTATTATGACGTCATTTCTGGAGATCTGAACATGCACTCGCAATTTTTATAAAAAAAATTTTTAAAAATTGTTATTCATTTCAATATATGATGCTATATATTTTCACATAAAATAACACGGTACGTAATATTATAGTTATTAGGTGTAGGTTACATATACTCACACGCAAAAGAAACGCAAGTGGTTTTAAGCAAATAGGTAACAAACACAAAACCATTAATTGATACAAGTTTTAGCATGTAGTGAAGCCTTATGGTGTTATCAATTTTTTTGGTTGCATTTTGGAAGCCCCGAGTAAAAATGCAACATAAAAAACGAATCGCCAAAACGCACCATTTCAATGAATATGTGGGTATCATGCACCCATTTCTCGCAAAATCGAAAATGCACGAACTGTCACGAACTGTAGTGGGTATAAAACTGTGGCCGATTCTTGGACCTACCACTCCTTGGTCAACAATGCCATGCCTAACTCAAATTCAGAGAAACCAGGCTATCGGACGTTTGGAAGCTGGAGAGTCTGCCCGTCATTTCAACGTTAACATAACCACAATTTACGGTCTCCTGCATCGATACAACACTACACAGACCACAGATGACCTTCCTCGGAGCCATCATCCTAGGGTCACCACACCTCGACAAGATCGGCAGATTACCTGTCAACACCAGCGACATCCGTTCCCTAAGTGAAAGTGCTCGACAGACCATAGGAACACATAATCGACACATTAGCCGGGACACTGTGATCTGACGTCTCCGTTCCAACAATCTCAGATGTCGCAGACCAGCAGGTCGTCCTGTTCTCCAACCACGGCATCGACAAGCACGACTTCAGTGGCCACAGGGTCATCGCAACTGGCGTCATTGTGAGTGGAGGCATGTCATCTTCTCTGATGAAAGTCGCTTTTGTGTCTCCCATGCAGACAGAAAAGTCAGAATTTGGCGGCGTCGAGGTGATCGTTTCGCTGACAGAAACGTTGTGGAAAGGGATCCATGGGGTGGACCTAGCGTCATGATATGGGCAGGGATTGGACTTAATGCGAGACTTGGACCCATGTGCTTTCTGAATGTTGGTCAAGGTCGGGGACATGGGGTCACTGCTCAGCGGTATATCGACCAAGTGATCAGACCACACGTTGTTCCATTTTTTGCACAACATCAACACATTTTCCAGCAGGACAACGCTCATCCTCATGTTGCCAGAGCTACCATGGCCTTTGTGCAACAACACAGCATCCGTGTTCTACAGTGGCCAGCCCTCAGCCCTGATCTGAACCCCATCGAACACTTGTGGGATGAGGTTCAAAGGCGTCTGTACAATGTGCACCCTGTCCATACAACTGCCAATGAACTAGGCACAGCTGCTCTGGATGTGTGCAGGAGGATCCCTAGGGCCATCACAAATCGTCTGATCCACTCCGTGTACAGGAGATGTGTGGCAGTGATCAATGCTAATGGTGGTCACATCAGGTATTGATTGACATTTTGGGTATTGACCCGAAACTGTGTAAGCCCTTAACATTTGAATTTTTTTTTATGTCATCTGCCTTTTAATCCATTAAACTGTCTTCAGTCAAATTTTTGTCAATCTTGCCCTATTAGTATTTCTTGTCTTTACTGTTGAAAATAAATAACATGTATACTGCATACTCGACTTGCGTGTCTTTTGCGTGTGAGTATATATATGTATACAGCGGATAGCAAATTATCGTTGGCTAGTCTTTATACAATTAATTTCTATTGGTGAAATAAGTCTTCATAAAGTTTTCAAGTGACAATTTGGTTTTCTTACTGGTAAAGTCCTAGATATTTTTTATAATCGCATACTTATCCTCGTTACTGCTTAATGCATATACTGCTTGTTCTTGACAGAGATAGAGAGCTGTACGAGGTCTTGTTGAACAGGAGTGCTCTGAGAGCACAACATCCCCCGTATGAATTTTTTTAACAAGTTTATATTTTCTTTGTATTTTATGAAATAACAACAGTAGATGGCACTGCATTTGAAACAAATTGTCAAGAACATTTTGTTGGGAGGCATCAAGCCAAGCATTACCAATTAGCAATTAGCATTTGACAATGTTGAAAGGAAATAAATTGACATGAAAATATCATATAGCCATCTACAGTAAGATTCATTAACAGGCTTAATGTTTTATGGAACATAAACAATCAGATGCAATATAACTCTTTTGAAACTGATAGCAATGGAATATCATTGTCATATGTTTATTAACAACATACATGCATCCAATGTATTGTTTCGAAAAAATTATCTGGATTTCACAGAATCTTTCAGTTGACAAAAATGAGGATCATAAACCAGGGTAGTAACTCTGTTAAAATAAATCAAATTAATAACGACAGCGATATTTGTATCAATAACACATGTTGTGTGTAGAGCGGCATGTGTTTAGAGCGACAGGGATATTCCCTGAAAAATGTAGGAGTTGATATCACAAAAACAGTACCCTCTCTCACAGTTGTGCAAATCGAGCATCATAAACCAAGGGCAGTAACTCTCAACATGAAGAGAAATGAAACGAGATTGTGATATGGATATATTAAACATGTGCACATTTTAACTGTAGGAGGAGTTGATTTCACAAGCTTAGTGCCCTCTCTCACAATTAGGCAAATAAAACTCCGTAAAACGGGCGGTAACTCTTGTCAAAATTTGTCGAAATGAAACGGGACTGCGATATGAGTATCATCAACATGTCGACATCTTGTGTGAAGTGTGTCAGGGATATTCTCTAAAAGCTGAAGGAGGAGTTGATTTCACAAGCTTAGTACCTCTCTCACAATTAGGCAAATGAAGCTCTGTAAAACAGGGGCAGTAACTCTGTCAAAATTAATCGAAATGAAACGGGACTTGATATGCGTATCATCAACATGTCGATATCTTGTGTGTAGAGTTTCAGGGATATTCTCTGGAAACTGTAGGAGGAGTTGATTTCAAAAGCTTAGTACCCTCTGTGGGACGGACAGATGGACGGACGGACAGAGAGACGGACAGATGGACGGACTGACTGCGCCATGACATAATCCCCCTTCAGCTATTCTGGCCGGGCGGGGGATAAAAAGGGCAGTCAGTTAACCTAGTGGTTAAAGTGTTTGCTCGTCATGCGATGACCCGGGTTCAATTCCCGACGTGGGTAAAATGTGTAAGGCCCATTTCTGGTGTCCCCCGCCTTGATATTGCTGGAATATTGCTAAAAGCGGCGTAAAACCATACTCACTCACTCACTTGTTGAAAAAGAAGTTGTTCCAACTAGCTGAGTGACTAACCCTATCTATCACACAACTCCCATGTGACTACGGAAGTGTTGACGTCAGTGATCAGCACATTACTGCTAAAAACAAAGCATCTGAAGACATCGTGGGGAGGCAGCTCTGCAATGGGTGGGCCACTAGATTTTTTAACTTATCCTGCATTACATCTTAATGCATCTTAATGCATCCAATGGTATGACTGAAGGCATACTTTCAGAAGTCATCTTCAATTAAGTTCTCCAAACCAATCAGCAATAGCAATGGCTGGCATCGAGTGACCATTCCTGTTGACAGGGAGGGAGAAAGTTAGGTATGCATGAAATCAAGGTATTGATACTGTTAACAACGCGTTGGTCTGACGTTGATTTCTTTTTTCCTTCCTCTCAATCTCTCTGGACCAAGGCTTATATAGCCAAGGTCACCTGACATTTAGTAAGTAATAAATATAAACAGTAATTCATCAGTGACATACATGCACATCTCGTTCAGGATGGCAGACGGTCGATGTACACAAAAATGAGGATTAACAATTAGGATTAGCATCTTATAAATAACAGCAAAAAAGTGTTTCAAGGCATATAGATGTCATGGCTCCAGGGCAATGAGCCTTTGCAATTAAATGTTCTTCAGAAAATGGGTGTCGTAAATCAGTAACTATGACAGTCACGAAAGTTAAATGAAATTAAAGTCCAGAAATGATGTACTGAGTGTGGGGATTTGTATTTGGTGCCACCTATCCCCAGGTAGAGA